TCATTGCGCCCCGAAAGAAGCAGGAATAAATCCCGCTGGTGGCGGAGGGGAATTGCCCGAATGCTTCGGAGACATAATACTTTGTGGAAAAGGTTACAGGAATCCGGAGATGGTTCTTCTTCGACATTGGCTACACTATAAACGATACCAGAAGAGAGCAATCAAATTGCAGAGGCGATCTAACTATCGTCATGAGCTCAGATTAACTCAGAATGCAAAAAGAAATCCGAAGTTGTATTATAGTTACGTATAGTCAAAAGTTGCAGATTTTGAGCGGTTCTCCGAGCTGAGTGATTATTGTGCAGACGTTTCGTTGCCTGACTAGGCAACATCATCAGTGCGGTTTCAGGGGGCCTGGTTCGCAGTGCCTCGTAAGCGACTTCTTAGAGGGAGGGAATTGGTAACCTGACTAAGGAAGGTGGCAGTCAAGTTGTAGAAGATGCAGCCAAGGCGCAGGTGCTATTATGTGTCTCTCAGAACCTGCATCGTGCGGACAGTGGCTGTGTAGTCTTTTCGCAGTCATACTTCTCATGTGACATTGAAATGCAAGACGTTTTACTAACCGCATCAGAAGTCTTTGAGTTGCTGGCTAGTTTAAACCCCCTATAAATCGTCAGGCCCTGACAACGTTCATCTAGCGTGTGTTAAACCATTCGCTTATATTCTCCAGTATCCCGTCTCGGACGTTTTCAACTGTTCTCTTCGGGAAGGCAAGCTGACACATAACTAGAAAGAGTCGAATCTTGTGGCAATTAATAAGGAGGGCTCCAAGTGTAATGGGTAAGTGCCCGGAGAAGCTCATTAGGCACCGAAGTTAGTTGTTAACAACTTAATTAGAGCGGAACAGCGTGGTTTTATTAGAAAGAAGTCATGTCTTATAAACCTGTTGTGTTTCTTAGACGAAATAACTCGGTGCCTCGATATCAGGTTCCAATGGAGGTCTTCCATCTAGACTTCAGTAAAGCATTTGACCCGGTTAATTAACGATTTTTACTAGAAATGTTCGCTTGGTTTGGGTTGCATCCCCAACTGACTTGGTTCTCGGATTTTCTCTGTGGCAGAACGTTCGGTGTCAGAGTTTGCGAGGTCAAACCCTAGCACGGGCACTGCTCATAGCCGGGTCCCCCAGGGTTCGGTGTTAGGGCCATGCTTGTTTCTTATGCTTATAAATGATATAGCCCCACTCCTCGAAGAACCCTTGTTATGATTTTGCGGATGATGTAAAGCTTCTCATTAGGGATAGAAAAAGACCTGGGTACTGTAGCAAAGTGGTTTGCATCCTAGAACTTGCTATCAAACGCGGACAAATGTCAGCTGTTATCAGCAAGTAACGTTGGGATTACGATGTAAACATCCACTGGGTCCCTGACATTGCAGTGTGTAGACAAGATTAGGGACTTTGGCATCATTATGGTAGATAGCTTCAGGCCTTCAACACAGTGACAAACTTGCTGCTAACAAGGCGTGGCAGGAGCTTTTTCGCTTCTGGAAAGCGTTGTCTAAAACTAAACCCGAGGTTTTTCTCCCTTTATACAAAGCGGTGGTTCGACCGCATTTAGAGGACTGTATTCAGGTTATGCACCATATCTTCGAAAGGATGTCGCTTGCTTAGAGAAGGTACAAAGATTGAGGGTTCAAAAATCTAAGCAAACTTGTCAGTCTGTAATCTTTCACCTCTGATAATTCGTATCTCAAAACGAAGGAACATCATTATTTTCTTGAAATCTACTTGCCAGTTGTTTCATTGAAAACAGGCATTCCGTATATATTGCACCACAGCAGAATGATGGAAGGCCAGCGTAAAAAGTCTTATGTTGTCCGACTGGCTTGTTTAAGCTTGTTCACATTGGAACGTTGCGGACTAAGAGATACCTGATAGAAACGCTCAAGGTTATGAAGGGTCTCAGTGGCATTAAGCCTACTGGTCTCTCTGAACCAGCTATGTCGGACCACCTGCGGGGACACCAACTGAAGCTCATGAAGCAGAGGTCCAGACTGGATATCCGAGCGAACATTTTCACCAACCGCGTAGTACGTAGCTGGAATTTACTACCCCCTGCACCAATAGAGTGTACTACGATAGAAGCGTATAAAAGAAGTCTGGATATGAATTGGTCCATTCTCTTTCCGAAATCGCATTGAGATTAGTGAGTACTAGTTAATGTCAAACAGCCCGTGGTTGGTAGGACCTCATAAATGATTTCAATGAATAATGATAGGTTGCCCTTACACTTTTTTGTCTCTGTAGAAGTGAAGAAGTATGGGTGTCGAAGTACCAGTGGCCCTTGCTTGCTTACCGGCACACGAAACGGGACGCTCGTTAGGCGAAAGCTTGTTTCGACCCTGGAGACTGACCTGACCTGGCCTCAGCTTCAGGACATATGTTTCAGTATATGGGACGTAAATATGATGTCAAAAGCACACGAGAGCTCATCATATTTCACACATTTCTTCGCTTTGGCAGTTAGTCCTGTTATTGCCTCGGAAACATTATGTGTTGCCATCTTACTAACAGTCGTTATCTGGAACTCTACTGGGGTCCACGATATACCATCTTTTGATACGGGAATTTCACTGGAAATTGCAGCAACAGCTGACACACTTTCATGGTTTTCTTCGTCACCACTGTCCTCATATAAAGTCTCGACTTCGACTATCAGAGATCTGCGGACTCCTGGATAGTGAAATTATCATCAACATCATATTCATTCCCCCCTTCAGCCTCGTTATACTTGACAGCTGTAAGCTCTCGTAAAACCTCAAAAGCTGTCCTCCTACGAGCATTGTGAATAGGAAAACATAAAACGAATTAAAGAAATGCGGTCATTGTGACCGCTTACGAGCTTCCTAGGTAGTACAAACAATTATTCTCTCTAAAACTGTAACAGATATCAGGGGGAAACTTCACGGTTCTAAAGCACGAATATAAATATTGTCATATCTTTGAAAAATATCTACAAACGTAGAAGCTATGTAGATGTAACAACATTCAGCGGTCAAAAAGACCGCTTCTGACGGTCTAGTATTAAGACACCCTGATACAATTTACCTCATTACGGCGGTGCCGTTAGGTATTCGTGTAGCTACGTAAAGATGGTGAGCAAAATGAACAGTGCAGGAAAATTAGCAATGATATTTTGAGCAAACATGCTCCGTTTGCACATCGATGTGAATAAGACGAGAATAGCATTGGTCCTGAGGACACCGGTTATCGATATGCACCACTTCATTTCATTTCTTTCCAATGCTGGTGCTGGATCCTCCCTGAAAACCACCATCCCTCATCCGCATGTCATCAAACACGGACATATTGCTGCAGTTGGATATATCACTCAAGTAGGCTGTTTATGAACCAAAGCATTGTCTGGGAGTTGACGTCTGCTGTATTAACAGTGGCGATTAAATGTTTAAACCGTGCACCGACTATATTCCGTATGCCTCGTGCAGCGTTCTGGCGCAAACGCTTCGCGTAGGACACTTGACTACAGCTGAACAACATACCATCCCAGATCGAGGTTGACCGCGCTGTCATTAGTAAGAAATCTCGAACTTCACTTAAGTGTTGTCAGTTCGTTGCATCAGCTTACTCGATGAGAATGTGGGAAGGGGTTTGCAGTCACTCACCATGGGACATCCAGTGGCTTCACGTGGGGTGCTCTCCCCATATGTAAGGTGAAAATTGCATGTTTTGTCGTGGTAGCGGAAAACCGCACCCACGACGGGACAGGTCATGGTTACATACATGTGGATGTTACAGCCTGTCACCATTGGATGAGCACGGAGATTAGGTAGCACTTCCAAGATTCCGGATGTGGCATTGGGGATGTTTGAGATAAGTTGAAAACCTGAACTTCACCAACCATTACCACTGTTAGTCAAGCCACAGATTCTTTCTTGAGAAACATTTACGCCATTATGCATTCCATGCTCATTTTTCGAGGTTTAGGGGCTAACCACACTGCACTACCTCTCGTTGTTGCTCACATCTAGCAGGAACACTAGGTGAACAGTGACCAAATTTTCCAGTGTTCACAACATCAGACTTCTCTGTGGAGCGCTGGGGACTGGTTCAGCTCAATAGGCTGCGATGTTTAAGACGCTCGTTACACACACTAAAATAGTGGCTCCCACACCAGGCGCTACTTGCACAAGTAGGCACCGAGTAGTAAAGGTGGGTAATTTACGATTCAGGATAAGCAGAGGGATACAGTGGAAACCATCCCTCCCGTTTGGTCCCCAAATGGCTTGAGATAATTTTCAAGTGAGCCTAAACTTAATCACAAAGGCCCGTAAGGTAAGACTGTTTTTTTTGCCACCAACCCGTTTGACACGACGACGGCATAAAACTTATCCAAATCTTATTTTTACACTCCGTTTTATTCTCCGTTATCTGTTCCCGTCTCCCCATCGGCACTCGTTTGTGACACCGTTGTTTAGGGAATCCTGCATGGGATTAGTGAATACTTCTGTCCCCTTGTGCACTACTTCCGGGTGTACTCATTTCAGCCATTTTTGAAATGGAAACTACCATACCTCATAGGATATGCTCGTCCCGATGCCGCTTCCCCCGATCTGAGATACCATACAAGCACAAACGAAGAAACCTAGTAATATATCTAATCGTGTGTACACAATTGCGACCCACGCATCGGTAAGATTGTTGGCCACATCTGTCACTGCAGACGGATTCGTTCAGACAAAGTGCGCTTATACATTCATCTCAAAGAATATGGTGTATCCTGGGTCTTCAGCAGTTTCTTCGAGTTATCTGTTGATAGACACACCTGAGCAAATCCGGATAAACAAGACCCACGCAGTCTGACAAAAAATAAAGATAGATGTCTCCTATTCGTGAACCATGACTGTATAAGCCCGACGAAATTTGCGGAAATTTTGTGGTTCTTATGAGCGTAATCCACAAATAACTTTCGGGTAATCGATCGGATCCACAGACAGATTGTTTATTTTATGCCCTTAAACGTTTGCGTTCTTGATTACAGTCGCATGGCGAAAAATCGAACTTTCAAATACTATACAGCAAACGACTTGTCTACGCTGGTCAATCAGCTCGAGTCCTACTTGGGTGCCCCACAAACAGCCTCCGCAGCCACGCGAGATATGGCAGGTACAAAACCGGGGCTACACTTGATCATGCTCCTGGCACAAGACAAGGAAGCGACACCGCTGCGATTTTATTTACCTTCCAATCCGCATGGCGAGGCTGTCCTCACCGATGTTGCTGTGGTGCCTCAGTGGGGTGGGCTTTTTTCCATCGACGCAAACGTGGAACAGCCTGCTGTTCGAGTGGGACGGCAATTGGCTGCTGTTATACGCTTGATAGCCGGACTACCGGAGCCACCAGCCCATATCCAAACTCATCTTAGCCCAAAACGTGGCCCAGGCGATGCATGGGGTGCCGTGGATCGTTGGGAGGTAGGTTGTCCATTTATTTTCTTGCATATTTCGGAAAATTTCGTTTAACTCTCACTGGCATTCGTCACCAACTTGTTGCTTACCGAGCAGCAACGTTGTATTTCGTGTTTTCATGAGGGAACATTTTCCCCCATTGCACCATCCTTTTTATTCCAGATGGACAGCTGGTTTTTACGCCGCACCGCAGAAAGCCTGCTCTCTATCCGTATGACAATGACAGCATTGGTTGACTTATTGTCACGATTTCCGAACATGGTTATCAACGACTACGTGGCAGATGAGGTTGCCCGCTCCGTCCGAATGTGGGGTCAAACGCTGGACCAGCTGCGTACCGTTGTGACCGGTTAAATGTCACTGACTTTGGGCAATTGTTCACCCAAGCAGAAGACGCCCTTGGAGCAATCAACAGTGCATTCTTTGATTACACTCTGCTCGGACGACTGTACTTTGAGGTTTGTTTTTTACTACCCGCGTGTCTAGTGCACCACGGCGATGACATTCGTCTCCGATGTGCTTCTTTCGGCATTGAATAAAGCTGCGCGCTGAGTCAGCCGTTTATTCATCATCAAATATCCATACTATTGCGATTCGCCTTTTTCTATATCCTGTGCCGCTTCCA